AAATTTTAGAATCAGAGAATTTTGTTAAAAAAATTCTGGCCTGCTAGCAACTTTCAGGTTGTAAATTTAGCCCACATGCAAGCACTGGAACTGTCAAATGGTTTCATCAGAGGATTATTTCTGAAGCAGTTACACAAACTGCTGGTCTGATTAATCAAACTGGTACATTAGGCCATCTTATTCTTTGTCAAGGCTGGATGAATTTTTCTGCTTTATCATATAAGGTAAGACAGGGATTTTTTTTACTTTCTCTCTCTTTTTTTTTGAGTTGTTTTTTTTTTTTTTTTTTTGTAATAAAACAATAAAACAGATTGTTTAACTATCAAAAAAATAAAAAGGAGGCTTAAAACACAGAATGTTTTTTCATGAAAGACTTAACCCATTTTGGTATATTATAACATAACTGGTATTCATATAAAAGAACATGATTTAAATGCCCCCACAATTGATTCTATTATACTGATGTAAAGATATATACATATTGTAATGAAAGCACAAATTTTGGAAGCACTGTATTAGGAATTAGTTCCACGCACGTTTTTTGAAGAATTTTCAAAATGAAGTACCGCATTTGACGGCATATAAGACACACTTTTTTTCCTAAATTTGGTCTCAAAAAAGTTACCTGCGTCTTATACGTGAAGGACACAGGTTCAATACTGAATGCTATTTTTAGCCCGGATAAAGGTCTAGACACACATAACTTTTTCTACATCTGCCATAATTATTTTGCGCATGCATGAAATATCTGTCGCCAAAAAGCGCCAAAGCTTGAAGCTGATGTTCAAACAGGTAATGGATGGAACAAGCGGATAGGAGAGCCACATCACGCCCTCTGGTAGAATGAAGCGGCCCTCTATTTCACAAGTGTGCGAGAGGGTAAAAAGATCTCGGGAAGGACGTAAAAGCTGAAGTAATTCTTAAGTCCTTTAAGAAGTGTGGTATTCTTAAGTCCTTTAAGAAGTGTGGTCAGTAACAAAGTTCGAACAGGTTCGATGGTCACATTACGTCTATGGAGCCTTTCCTTCTTTACATAGACTTTCTTTGACTCGGCTGACACAAGTGTCGATATCAGTGCTTAAAACTATTTGTTAAAAAAAAAAAAAAAAATACGTTGGAAAATGTGACTACAGGAAACAAGAGATTATGCTATACAATACAGTATAAATTAGGAGTGTTAAACTACGCCAAAGTGCATCGAAACAGAGCAGCAACAAAGCATTTCGGTCCACCACCTACCGAAAAAATGATATGTACTTGGCGACTGCAGGAAGATCAACTGAAGACTGCTAAAAAACAAAAACATAACCCTCGATGACCAGCTCCACCTTGGCCTGAACTTGAAAATGCCGTAAAAATGTGGGTGATAGATACGAGGAAATCTGGGGTAAGTGTTTCACCCAAAATGATAATCAATGAGGCCAAAGAATTTTGCTGAAAAACATGGGAATCGGAACTTTTCAGGGTCTGAGGAGCTGAAGCTACAGGTTCAGGAAAAGGCAAGGCTTTATCAATGCGAACAAAAACAACTATTGCACTGAAAATGTCAGCAGAAAGAATAATGAAGAAAAATACTAGCATTTCATAGGTTTGTTATAAATGCACGCAAGAAAACTTCTTTTGAGCTCGGTCAAATAGGAAATATGGATGAAATTCCACGTCACATTTGATGTACCATCCAACAAGACTGTGAATATTAAAGGGTCTAAATCAATAGCCATAAAAATCACAGGTCATGAAAAAACCTGATATACAGTAGTTCTAACATGTTGTGCTGTTGGCACAAAACTACCGCCATGTTTTTCATATTCAAAAGAAAAACAAAGAAAAACTCATTCAAAAGAAAAACTTCCAACGGGTGTAATTGTTCATGTTCATCCGAAAGGCTGGATGGACGAAGCTGGAATGAAACTGTGTTACATTTCAGCTTCGTCCATCCAGCCTTTCGGAGACCAGTCTTTCGGATTATATGGGCGAGGTGACCTGGTGGACTCTTAAGAAAACCCTTCTCTTTTGGTTTTGGATCAGTTTAGCGCCCATAGAGAACCATGAAGAAACCATAAAGAATAAAGCGAGAGAATTAAAAACCCAGATAGCTATCATTCCTGGTGGACTGACTAGCCAATTGCAGTCTTTAGATGTATTGGTGAATAAGCCATTTAAGGAAAACGTGCAAAAATGATGGAACAAGCGGATAGGAGAGCCACATCACGCCCTCTGGTAGAATGAAGCGGCCCTCTATTTCACAAGTGTGCGAGAGGGTAAAAAGATCTCGGGAAGGACGTAAAAGCTGAAGTAATTCTTAAGTCCTTTAAGAAGTGTGGTATTCTTAAGTCCTTTAAGAAGTGTGGTCAGTAATGCTCTTGACAGAACAAAAGACGATGCATTATTTGAACAAGGTGATACTAGCGATGATGGAAACAGTTGTGATAACGATATTCTCGTTTTCGATGATGATGATAGTGAAAAGGATTTTTATGGTTTTGAAAGTGATTAAAGTCTAATTTCATGATAGGCAAGGTTTTTCTTGAACCTGTGTTTTTTGTTGTTTCTGCTTTATTTGTATTATGTTTGATTGCTTGCCTTCCTTATTCATATTGAATTTACATATCATGTTCAAAATAGCTTGCCGTTTTTAATTTTCCTTAATAAAAAATATGTTTGGTAATTGCATTCAATGATTGTTTATTTGGCTTTTACAAAACGGAACTAAAAAACCACATTTTAAGTTATTGTGGTACCATGCTGTCGCGTGGACTATTGAAACTTTTTTTCCTTGTGTGTTGCCTTCTAAATAAGGGTGCGTCTTATATGCCGTCAAATACGGTAAGTTCCATATTTGGATACTCGATGATATCTAACTTTAAGAACGATGAACTTGCAGATACTTTTCCCATTGGACTTCTAGGTAGCAAGTACACAGACATCCTGTCCGACTAAAAATGTCATGATATAAAATGAATGATTTGGAGCCTGGCGGTGGCATAATAGGTAAGTAGCGAAGAAACTTGGCAAGGCAAACATGTCCGGATCCAAAATAACTTTATTATTGAGGAAAAGCAAGTCAGGATTCGCAATATTTGGTTCACATATGGACAAGTGTGGGTTCAAGAAATCGTAAAATAATTACAATATTTACCGATTTATTATCAATGTGAATGGCGACTGAATTATTTACATGTGGGTTGTTTTCTTGCATTTCAATGAAATGAGTTTGTAGCTATTTCTATAGTTTAGGAATTATTATACACTGGCATTTGTGGAAGATTTGCATGTTTTCAGGAAAGTCAGAAGGTCATAATATTTTTAAAGAGAGATAGTAGTTTTAGAAATTTTTTATTGAAAAATAATATGTTTTAATCATATAAGAAGGCACCAGAGAAGAATTTAGCTTGCTTCCCTTTTAAGACATTGATTTAACAAGTTTGAATTAAATAACTTTACAAAGATGGTAATTCATAATTTAGTCACCAGTTTCTAGATCTTAAGTGAGGTTATTTTAATATACATTCTGGCGGTTATAGTATCAAAGGTGTTCCTTGGATTATCACTAAGTTGTTGTTTCATTTATGGTAATCTGAGTAGTTGAATGTTATGGAAACCCTATTATGACATAATTGGTTGTGTGATTGTTGTGAATTTGAATGACGGGAAAAGATTTGTATGGGTTTGTGTGTTGGATGTTGGTTAGGAAGTATGTGGTTATTTTGTGGTTTATGCGGTAAAATGGCTGAATGTGGTATTGAAGTTTCTGTATGATTTGGAACGAAAGTGTAAAAAAGCATTAATTGACTGGTATGCAAATGAATGCTTACTTAGTAGCCATTATACGTGTCTTGTTTGTATGAAGGAAATGCGCATGGTCAAACATCGGAGGATATTTTTTACTCTTATTTTTGTGAATTTATGTGGTAACGCCAGTATACAGATTCAAGTTCAGATAATTTTAGAAAGTTTTTGGATGCTGCTAAGGAATTTTGTTTGACTGAAGACACGGAAATTTCTAAATAAAGTATCTGGATACTTCCTTTGTATGATAAGTGATTCTAAGATGAGTTTCCTTTTTTATGTTATTTGTTTGATTAAAAATGTAGTTCATTGAGATTATATATTTTTTATTTAGCTCTAGTGTAGAATTGGCTGTTTCTTTCACTTTTTTAGTGAAAATAGATTGATGTGTACATGGACAAAGTGAAGGGAGTGCGCTATGCCAGTTTGTGCAATTCTCTGATATTTTTTGAAGCGAAAATAGGTCAATGTGAGTTTTCAAATTGAAGAATTGCACAAACAAGTCAAAGAATTTCACAAACTCAGTGTTCGTGTACCGCCAAAAATCACCATTGTTTGCGAAGGGGAACCCATAAATATATTTTTACATATTCTGGCACCAGTTGTTCAGTTATTTTGCAGAAACTCCTACAGTAATTATATTCTGATTTATTTAATACAAATGTTCTCTAAATTTCAACAGAACAGGGCTACAGTGTGTACTGTAAGAAATAGTGGACTTTCTCAAATATTTTGATGATTGCAATATTTAAATTTAGTCTTTATCACGTTTTTAAAATATGGGACTTTAAGAAGACTTCAAATTAAATTTATTATATTCATGCCAGATATTAGATGCTCCAATTTTTTAAACAATTCTTTGTTAGGTTGACAAGCAACACATTTTTATAGCGCAGAAGATAAATGAAAGATCTTAAGCAACATTAATTAGCAAGTTTCTGAAATTTTTTACAGGACAGAAAGTGAATACAAATAAAAACAAAACAAAAAAAAAAAAAAATCCAAGACTGCACTTTTTTATTACAGAAAACTTATATGAGATTTACATAAAGACTTTTTAAAAATTTTTTTTAAAACTCAAAATTTAAAAATTTAAGATATAGGTTACAGTTAATTTTTTTACCCAAAATTTTAATCAGCTTTCACTAAATTTTAACATAGTAACAATTACAATCTGAGTGTACAGTTAAAAACTGATTCACTATAAGGTATTTTAAACTGCTAACTTACCCTAAAATGCTCAAACACACTTTTCCATTTTTGTATAGATTTGGATTAAATCTAACTTTACCCTCACCAGTTGTCATTATCTTGACTCTTGGTGGTCGAATTGGATAATCTGGAGGGCAACGTATTAACAAATAAAAGAAACCCCCTTCATAAGGTGTATCAAATGAACCTGTCAGCAATGCATGTATCTAAAAAAGAACAAAATAATTACCAGGTGAGGAAAATCATTGGATTGATAAAAAAATATTAAATTATCCTAACAGTTATTTTACTTAATATAACAGGCTTAACAGTATTTGTTGGTGCATAGCGAGATCAAATCAAGGTTTTTTACCTTTAATAAACCCTTTTGTTACACGATTAAAGCTGCTTTCAAAAAACATTTTTTAACACCTTAACCTTAGTCTTCTCCTTGACAACGTAATGAAAATGTTTAGTGTATGCCTGATCAGAACACATTGATTTATACTTTAGTTAATCGAAATTTTAAAGTCATCTGAATCATACGTCTTTGAGTACTAAGGTGTTAATAAACAACAAACATACAATTATATATTCATACTAATTTACAAATAAAGAAAGCTAATGCATAAATAACATAGGATATTTTCCTATCTCAGACAATAACAACTATCCATATATCTATTTATAGATTTAAAAAATATACGTGCAGATTTATAGCTGATGCATTATTGTGAACTTTATTGTTATTGTTGCTTTTTTTCACCTGGATTGATAAAAACCAGATCACATTTAAAAATCCTTAAATGTCAAGTCCAGATAGATAAACTGGCCTAAAAACCACCTGCATATTAAAAGACAAAAGAAGAAGTCAGGAATGAGATAAATAAATAAATAAATAAATAAATAATAATAATAAAAAAGAACTGATTTTACTCTTTTAATGGGAGGGGGGAAGCTATATTTTCTCACAATCTGTGGCATTCCAAATCTGCAACCCCTATTGCAGGATCGGCCAAACTTCATGTCAGCAAGAGCAGCACGTTTGAATACAGGAACATTCGAGAGCTGCATCTAGATTTTCTAAAAGCCACAAGTTAATATTTACATCATTATAGAAGTAATGGAGGAGGTTTTAAATAGAAAGAAATCCCCTGATAACTTTGTAAAAAAAGTCTAAACTAATTAATTACTTCTCTTTTTGGACACTGAATAGTTTTAGTTTACCATATTTCGTACATATATTTTATATGCACAAGCTGCACAAATTGACTGCAAGAGCCGTATCAAGCCCTATTGTATCTTGCATGCCGTGTTACTTCCATTTCTGCAAGTGATCAAAATTATTTTATTTTGGACAGAGCTTATATTCTGAAAAACAGTTGACTTTTTAGAGAGAACTTGCATTGCTGTAAGTGGTTTCAATGAACCAGCTTTGATAAGGCAGAAACTTACCAGACAAAGTATAGTAAAAATTCATTAGTTTCAGAAAAAAATTATGCATTCATTTCATTAACCATCAAGATTTATTTATTTTTATACAATTTACTACATTGTTTAAAGTGGTAAGAGAGCTCTGCTGGCTTCAACAGAACAGGGCTACAGTGTGTACTGCAAGAGATAGTGGACTTTCTCAAATATTTTGATGATTGCAATATTTAAATTTAGTCTTTATCACATTTTTAAAATATGGGACTTTAAGAAGACTTCAAATTAAATTTATTATAACAGTGATGCTATAAAATGTATTTTGAAACCTTAAAAGACAAAGTTTGTAAAGAGGAAATGGAGGATATGGTCAGTACTAACTGTAAACAGAAATCAATAAATACTTATGCAATTATATTTTTTGCATCAGTTTTTCAGTTACATACTCATTGTCACACTGCATATACAGATCACATCAAACAAAAGAGAACTGAAAATTAATTCACAAATACTACAAAAAAGTAGATAAGCATAGTGCAACATAACACACAATTAATAAGAAAAGCCTATAACAGTTGCTGAAATTAAATGAAGAGGAGATATTACCAATGTCATATCACTTTCATCTGGAACTATGAACATGCCAGGAGGAGGTTCATTATATATAGTCATAATATCCCTGGAAGGAGAAGGGGGAAAATAATTTATATAAACGTATATTCTAAAATACAATGTTATAAATGTGATGCACGAATAAACAAGTAAGACACGCACAAATGAATATTAAAGCAAAATCTTAAAGTAAGATCTTACAAAATTGTACTCCTGAAAGGGGGGGGGAATTTACTTCTGAGGCAATGCCAATTGAAAGCACAACTGATTTATTTCAGTAATCGCAGCTGGATTGAATTAGCTTTTTTTGCAATAATAACTGTTTGTTACAATAAACATACAATAATATTTAAAATAAAAATTAGCATGTAGCTTTCAATATACAGTCAAAAGTCTTTACTCTGGACTCGTCGGAACTTCGGTGATTTCGGATTATAGATCATCAGTTTAAATCTGGTAAGATGGCATGCAGAAATTATAAAATTAAAAATATGAAACCGTAATTATGAAATTAAAGAGCAATTTGATCAAAGAGATAAAAAAAAAACTTAATTATTTGTTTACTTATTTAAATTACTTCAAGCGTGCATGGTAAAGCTACATTACGATAGTCGAAATAGGAAATTGCAGCAGAAAACTATTTGATGTGTATTCGGGATATTTAATGGCGTGGAATTGATTTAAATAAAAGACGGAGTAAATCAAGATGAAATACACATTTAGTAAAGAAGTAAAGCGAATAAAATAAACATTTTACTGAAGATAAGATAGTGCTGACAGATAATTCCTGTTTATGCGCGCCGCGACGTCCTCATCTCCAACAGGAGCGCGTGTGAAATTGATAACTAATTCGGATGGTAGAGAAACAAAGGATATGCTTATCATTTTTTACAGCAATCCACTTTTTTTTCATGGACATGAAACATGCTTTCGCTTCCAGATCCTTTGCAGCTCCAGATCGGAAATTCTTTTTGATATAATGAGTTCAAGTATTTTATAAAGGCTGGTGATCTTTGGATTATGGTAACGTGGTGATTTTTGGGAAATTGGCAACCAACTTGCTACAGCAACCTCTATTTTTTTTTTTTTTTTTTTTCCCCCGCCGCAATTCTGTCCATGAAGTAAAGAATATTCTTTTCTTTTTATTTATGAACACTTTTTCACAATCTACTCGCCAAATTACATTTATCTAGAAATTTTATCTAACAAAACTGTAATCAGACAAACTCATGCAAAATGGGAACAAGGCACAATTGGAACACTCCTTGCAAGTTTTTCACAATAACACATACACTAACATGTACACGTCGACTTTTTTACTTAAAAAAAATCCCAAATTGCACAAAAATGACCATTGCGCACACGCTTCCTATATCCATTGTACACTGTGTTTTTTCTCATAAATCAGAAATTTCACGAAAATGATGAAAATACTCAACAATACTACTCAAGCATATTCCAAAATACTACAAACAATAAACCACAAAATCAAGATCATTAAAAAAAATACTTAAAATATAATAAGCACATACATTAAATTAATAAAATAGATTACATCCTAATACTTTAGGTGGTCTACTAAGCGGCATACATACTAAAATTGTTTACACGCAGAATCGCTAATTAAGAAACTATGTGATGAAATTGACAGAAATATAAAGCAATAGGTCAGTTTTCGAATCACAATGTTAGAATCAGGTTGAAATGAAATTACGTAAATATTATATTAAAAAAATTAGTTTGAAAAGTAATTTTAATGTGTAGTTTGGAAAGCCATCTATAGATGGCGCTACGGTTAAAATTTAACATGTCATATATTCTGCAAAATTCCAGAAGTAATGATTTGATATCAGTAAAATCAGATTTTTTTCTAAATATATTTAGAAGCGTTTCATATATTCCTTTATACAAGTTTTCACTAAACATTGTCAGCTGTCAGCAGATGACGTTTAGGCAACCCTATTGCAGTGATTTCGCACCGTTTGTTTAATTTATTTGGTATGTGGTCAGTTGCAAAAAATATGCGAAATATCAGGACGACCAAAAAAACATATCGTTAAAAAAAGATCCAGAATTCAGTGTAAAGTCGAGCTCAGAAAAAATATGAATTAAATTCGAGATGTGGAAGATTCGAACAAGCGATGTTTTCGAAAGGTGAGAATAATTTATTTTATTCGATACGGTGTTATGATTTTAGTAGTAAGTATTCGAATAAAATATGCGTTATTTTTTTATTGAAGGTCAGAAATTATGATACAACTGCACTGGTCAAGGAGAATCATGCCCGGATGATTTTTTACAAAGTTTTTTTTTTTTTTTTTTTTTTTTTGTGTATGTGTGTGTATGCGGGGATGCTAATAATGTCAATCTGTTTACAAATTTATTCCTCCATTCACACTAAAGTGTTGGGAAATATTTGAAAGGGCATTCCAATCACAAGGATTGTGAAATAATTGAATCTTTTCAAAGTGGAGCATGTTCTTGCGATCTAATGAATCACCATCAGTAATGTATTATTGGAAATTTATAGTCATATGTTTGCTACGAAAGCTTGTCAGTACCTATGGTAATTTTTACAGGTGTATGCACGGTTATCTGTGCTCGAGTTCACTTGATTTTGTTATTATGTCATTAGGATGTTAAAACTTTCTTTAGAGTTGGAACATTTTGATCATTTAGTAAAATTATATATAAAATATATTAGCTTGGTTATTTATGGTTCTTGTGTATTGTATTATGCATGTGGAAGTTAGTTTTTGAAAATATGTCACAAATGGTAAATCCACCCAAGTGAATTGAATGATATTGGGATGAAGGTAATAGAAAATATCTGCCGTGTATTGGCGTAAACCAAACTAGTGCAAGAATGGGACCATATGCTCAGCTTGCTTAGCCGTTTGCCATGTCCAAATGAATTATCTCCAGTATAAGGGGGATGAATGCTTTTCTGTATCACAATAAATATCTGTTGATCAAAAAAATCTACATAGAAAATTCATATGTTTGTGAGATTTCGCAAACAGAAGTCCTCGCTTGTTATGTACATGTTTTTTTAATTGGTTAAGATGGGTACTTCGCAAAGGAATTTTCTCATAGAAGATTATCTGAACATTTAAAACTATATTCTGCTTTAGGGGCCTATATTTATGCCGAAAAATAATAGAAATTTCTCAAAGTGAAAAAAATGTCATCTGGATAGTGCAAAAAATATAATCCTTTTTCATTCTGCATTCCAATCCTGCATTTCTTTATTCCTAATTTTTAATTGGAGGAATTTAATTCGCCGAGCCTCAATTTATTCTTACAAATCATGTAGTAAGTACCATTTTAGATAGATATAAAAACACATTTGTAATTTTTCTAAACTGTGGTTATACAGCTGATTAAATGCTACACAGGGTAGGCGAAACAGTACAGCAATATCTGTCGCATGTCTGAGATGGGGGTAGTCAGACATAGATTAATGCTTAAATTTGTTATGTGTTTTTTATTCATGTTTTTTAATATTTAAGCAGTTATTTCTTTCATTCTTAGGTCGGAAGTGAAAATTTGGCTTTCTACGCCAGAAGTACAGCTAACGTCCTAGACAACAGGCTTTCCGAGGTAGTGTTTATTTTAAAATAGATATAGCGTGCATGATATTGAACTCTTACAGTTATTAATTATGGTTAATAATATGATTAATTAGAAGTCAAGCAACAAAATCAGAGTTTATTTAAAAAGTGAAGATTTCAAAAATGATGCTGAGTTTGTGATTGACTTCAAATTAATACTGGTCGGTGTGTTATTGTATCTTAATTAAACTAATTGTGGGTCTTTCTTCTCAGTCTGATTGACATTTCAGTTATTGACCGACGAAAGGTAGAATACAAGCTCTCTTTTGGGGTAAATAGTATTCTCTATGCCAAATTAAACGTCATCATTATGTTTTCTTTTATGGTGTTACTTATGTTGTTACATACCGATAGCTATTAAAACTATTAAATATATGTTGTAGCTATCAAAAAAGAGGGGGATGAATTTGATTTGTACCAAATTGGACGTTGCATGAAAAAAGAAAATGAAAATAAAGATTTTTTAAAATATATTCACTGAAATCAGTGAATTTAGACGGACACGGCAAATGAAGAATATTTTGGGGTTGATTCTTTTGCGGGAGCCTCATAAATAAGCCTACTATCTTTTTAATATTGCTTCTTTTCATTGTTTTCATGATGTTTTATGTTCCCTTCATAAAGAGATTTTATAATTTAAATTTGTTATAAAATATACAAAAATGAAATCGTATTATGTGGCTATTATTTTTTCCATTTTTTGAGGAAAACCAAAAATTTTCTTATTTACAGAATTTTAGAAAAATATAAGGATAAAATTTTTTAAATATGATTACTACCTTTGCTGCCTCCATAATGTGCCTCAATTGAGCAATTAGACAACAAATTTAATTCATGTGATCTTTTTTTTTTTTCCCAAGTTCTTTTTTAGGCTTAGGAGTATAAATTGCTCATCCCCACAAGACATTGCATCTTCTTAGTATGCCCTCCTAAGGCTCCGTTCACATGATGGATTAAGTATAGACGCCATAATCATAAGCAAAAATGTGGGAGTTCCATTTCACACGCGAGAGAGGATCTAAGCCATAGCCAATTATAGAAGCTAAATTTGTGATGCATGTATGTGTCTTACAGATTCCTCTCAAGAGGTTTATGAATGCTCTGATTGCGACTTCTTTATCAGTCGGCCACAAAGTTGAAATTCAAGCTTATGCCAACTAGTTTTGTGACATAGCAAGTCTTACTAAAAGCGTTGTGGTGGGATTATGACATATACAACGGCTTGAATGAGCCTTAGAAAGCATTTGGTAACTGAGTTATCCACCATGAAAGAGTATTTGCCCTCGAATTCGGTTACTGGAACACGAACATTTTATACTGGTGTAGGAGGCCTATGTGAACCTCGGCACACAAAGTACGATAATATTGCACGAGCAAATGACATGAGAGCAGGAAGCACAGTTGTGAAAGAGATTCATTCTTGTAGGTATACTGGTAATCCAGTGTCTTTATTATGTTAATTTATGAGCTATCTGTTGCCTAAATCCCAGTAAACCTAATTGCGAAGGGCTGATGCATGGGCGTGTTCATGTTT